AGCTGACAACCTTTTTTCGGAGTTTAGCGTGAAAAGCTCCCACACTTTCGAGCATTTTGTTCTTGAGACTGACATTTTTTGTCAACTCTCCAGTAAATGGTAATGTCAAAACATTCCTAGTGAGTGGGAGAAAGACGCGTGATGACATCGCCAACTAATCAATCATTAAATTAGTTGCCAACTAATTTGGTTGTTGATTTTAGTCAACTAAGTCGAACAATCGTTGCACCCCTATTGTATAAGACCAACTTCTATTTGAACTCACCTATTTGTGGCCTATAGTGCCTAGAAGTGTTAGCTTGCGTGTATTAATATTCCTGAATGTTTGAAAATGCCATTAATTAATGAATTAATTCACTCACACATTTATTAATGTTTTCACTGATTTCTTAAGGTTAATATAATAAGGACTCTCTGTTCCTAAAAAAATGAATTTAGTTTGAGGGTAACAATATTCTAAGCCAACTATGTTCTTGTTGTGTTGTCAAACAGTTAGAGGAGCACATAAAAATCACACATACATACACCCCCTCACACACACTGAGCCTGGTGAAAGTCAGCTCTGTGTCAGTCGGCTGCCGTGACTATGCAGGGCCTTCAGCTGTCAGAACACTCAGCACCTCTCTTTCTGTCTTTGGTCTCTCTCTTTCTCTCTCACTCCTCCCCCTCTGTGACTGAGGTTATTTACAGCGTGGAATGTGCCATGTCTCGAGTTACAGCTCTACTGTCACTCTGCCACACATCATCCACAATTATAGCTCCTACGCTGCTGAGCTGCCGTTGTGCTTATGGAGTCTACATCAGTGACAAGAGTGGAACATGTGCACAAGCGGGGAGAACGGGCACAACTCAGGCCAATTGATTTTAGGCAAAATCTATTCCCGTACAGCCAAATGAAAACATGGTTAATCAAAAAACACCATGCACTGCATCTTGGTTTAGCTGCAAAGTGAGATGACCATTGATTTTGCATCACAGAGAATAATCTCACTTAGTGTATTTCCTCAACTTGCAAGCCATATGTCACTCCTGAAAGAGTTTATGGATTATAAAATCATGCATAAGCAATGGAATTTCTTTCTAAAAGAAAGAAAAGCAAGCATGTGAAATGTGAGGTGGTTTGCCACCACAGCTGTGTACTAATGTTTTTCACATGGTTTGACATCCATGTCTCTCACTCTTGAAATCATAACACGTTTTCCTTTAGTACTGTGATGTATTTTTGAGTGAAACACAATATCAAGGGGGATCTCTGAGCTCAGAGGGTGTTTTTTGCTTGATGATAGGTGGATGATGGGAGTAGGATATGAAAAATTATATTATTGGTTAACATTGGTTTTGCCAAAGAAACTTTTAAATTATATGATGTAGAGAACCATGCTTAATATGACTGCAAACATTAACTAACAATATAAAAAAAGGTCAGGTTTTTTATGTTGACTGTAAAATGCTGGCATTAGCAGTGATTAGGAGAAATAGCAGTAAAACTGGGGGAAATAAACAGGATGCTGCATGGATGTTAGAGCAGCTTGAAGTATTAGTGTATTCATGACACTATAAAAAGGTAATTTTACATTTTTTTATTAAAAAAGACAACAGTTCAGACTGTACACAGTTATACACGTATCAAAAAAGTGATTTTACTGCAGCATTTTAGAGTAGGTTAGGTTAAATACACTGTAAAATGGTCATTTGACAGAAAATACGTCATACAATCTAAATTTATCAGTTCGGAGTGTCACATTGCGCACATACTAAAAATGTAGTGATTTTACTGTAGCATTAATTGAAGGCACACATAGTATCGATGCATAGTCAACTTTAAAGTATGCAGACAGGAACAGGGGACCAAAAACAGGAGTGTGAAATCCCTAGTGTGTGCTGTTGCACATTAGTGACAAGTGCAACAAACCTTTGAACCCCAGGCTTATTCACTTATTAATCTTAAGACTTAATCAGTAACTACTATGAATTATTTGACAACTACTGTGAAAACTATAACATTTTTGTATGAACTCAGAAAATCTTTGTTCATGCTAGTTTCTAAAGTGTTTCACTGAAGGGCAGTACTAAAGATCAAGTGATCCTCTGCCATAATCTTCTGGTATTAGTGAAAGCAAGGCCTGAGTGGGGTTCACTGGGGTGTATTATGAACCACTCAAAATAGACCACTGGGCTCACCCGTCAGCAAGGAGAGTTGTGGGGTATCTAGCAGATATCCACAATGGGGCAAGAAAGCCACTAGGGAAGGGAAGAATTTTACCAGTTTAGTCAATGGGAAAGCTCACTCATCTCTAAAAAATATACATGACTTGAGGATAAGATAGGCAGATGGGTAGCCATGATTCGGAAAGAACTGTTGGATGCTCAGAAGGCATTGAGAAGTGTAAGGAGGGAAAGAACGGATGCCTCCAGCAAGAAGAAACACAGGGGTGAGTTGTGTTTCTGCAACGCCATCCATGCAAAACTCAGAATCACCAGAAAGTGTGTAACCAAGCTATATGAGCAAACCATGCATGATCATGGATTTTCTACCTGTTTTTAGCTGACACTTGGTACTGTTTAGTAGGGTTTAGGGTAAATGAGTAGTGAAGCACCATTCATAGCTTTTCTTCCTACAAAAAAATTAGTCATTTTAAATTTCCTATGCTATAGGACACAGAATTGCTAAAGTACGTACAAAATTTCTTACGGTATATTGAATGTCACCAGAGATTATATGAATTTATCAAGAATTACAAAGTGTGTATGAATGAGGATTTGATGAAGATTTGGACTAGGAGAATTTTTATCTTGAACTTTTATCACATATCATCACTGACATATTATCCTTGTCACTCCAATTTTTCGTAATTTTCTCTAATTTGAAATGAACAGATCCCCTGTATGTTCTGTGAACTTTTCACAAGGAATGGACAAATAGAAATTACTGTTGTTTTAATGCACATTCAATTGAACACCACTTTTTTTGCTTCTCCTATAACGGTACCATTTTATGAGATTTTGTTATGACAGAAACGATAATATAACCTTCTTTCCTGCTGCAACACAGCACAAAGAACTTTGTGGTATGCAAGGAAGCTCTGTAGCATGAAACTATTAAAAGTGGTAAGAAATCTACTTGGACAAGTGTTCCCAAAACATTCACTCACAAATCTGGACTTTCAGTATTATGTAAATACTGTTCAAGTAGCAGACTCAAGAAAGCAGAGAACAAGAAATTCTTGCAGTGTTTCGGAAATTAATGCACACCAATTTCATTAGGTCTAATAATTTAAGTATCCATCTTGTAATCCACTGTGGTTTCTGTGATTGCTGACCCCAGCACTAATTCAGGATTGTTCCTGCATAGAAGCTGAGCGTATAATGAACCTTGAGTAATGCAAAAATGTGTCACAGTGATGCTGAAATGAATAGGAGAGGATTTCAAATGTCTTAGATGACCTGTTTAGCTAATGCTGGCTCTGTTATCCTCTAGTGTAAATGGGCTATCATTCATTTAGACTTAGCTTTTATTTGAAAGAAACAATATTTCAACATTTCACAGTTAATGATGTATTTTTGTTCTTGAGATGTGTACAACTATGGATAAAAATGCTGCTGATAAAAAGTGTTAGAATGTTATAAGCTTAATGTACTTGGATTGGGTTGTTTTTAATAGACCTTGTAAGATACACTGTTCTGGAATGATTAAAGTTGATAGTGAAAGCCATTTGTGGCCACTGTATTCATCCAACTGCACTGCAGACTGTGAAGCATATTGCTTGATAATACTGTTAAATTCTCTAGCTAATTTGCAGTTAATGCAGTTATCTAAAGTTTTCTAAAGCATGTGAAAATATTGTAACTGTCATTACGGAACTACCAGTGTAGTATTTTAATTGTAATTCATAAAGCCTCAGTAGGTTCCTGATTACAAAGCACCCACTGCTTAACTTTAAAGTCAACCTGAAATCAAAATGCATCTTTTATATCTTTTTAGTTCATGTCACTGATCATGTAGAGCATGGTTCATTATTTCATATTGTTTAAAACACAACAATTTTCTGTAATCTTGCATCAAAATGTATTAACTTTTGCTTGTCTCTAAAATATATTCTGATTTTTGGTTACGCCACCAGTGCACCAGTGGGCAAGGAAAAATAATAATATTTCACCCGGAAATATGTCACGGTATTAACTGATGTTAATTCTGTTATGATTCACATTAAGAAACAGATAGACATTTATTGTCCGCAATATGGAATTTTGTTTTTAGAATTAAAACAATGCATAACAAGACATAAAAATAGACATGGCAAACATCCAACCATCTGAAAGTGAATGAAAATACATTAGAAATTCATAATTATCCATAATTATAAGTGCACAGGTGTCATGTGGCATAAATACATTAATAAATAAATAAATAAAACACTGAACTCTGGGGAAGAAAATGTTATTACCTTGTCATGCCCCTACTTTGTTGGTCATTTAAACTCAAACCTAACATTAACATATTATAATTCAAATAAGCAGGATGCAAAGTTCACAATATTTATTCTAGTTTCTGCTATGAAACAGATTTCTAGAACAATACTCTTTTACCATAATATTATATTGTTATCAAAAAGGATTATGCAAGAATCAAGAGATTCAAGAGTTTATGTTTGGGCGCCCTAGCTAATTAAATTACTGTCTGTAGCCTTATGCTAACAAGGGTAATGTTCACCACATAACTTACAAGAAGAGTCCCATAGCTGAGGTTTATTACATGGTGAGGCACATGCAGTCTTGTTGTCAGCATGTTTATGCATGTGTTCTATTCTAAATGTCACCTGGGCTCATGAGTCTGGTAGGGATTAGTGGCTCTTATACTGTTTCACAGCACTGCTTGCCCTGCTTTCCGATCACACTAGCAGGAGCTTCAGTCCTCTCGTCTCATGTTTCAAACATCCATGTCTCGACTCATAAATGGCAAAACTGAACAAATAAAAAAAATAACAGAGAATTGTATTTGAGTTGGATTTTCTTTGCTGTTACCTAGTGAGGTACTGTGATTTAAGCAGTGATGTGTTTGGGGATGGACCATTGAAATAAACAAGTGATACTCTACTATGGAAGGGCTAGAGGGCTATAAACCTTCCCAGAAAAACTGGGCTATGAAACAGTAAAATTCTGTTTTGAATATCTTTTTAATGAGTTGCAATGACATTTGTTATCCAGAACTAACCATGTTCTTGTGGCTAATTGCAATCAAATCCCCACAATAACATTCCATTATCTTGTGTAAAGCCCAACAGAGTAGAGATTGTTCAGGAACCAGATGTGAGCAGATGTCTACAAACTTTCCACTATACTTCTATGTGTATATTTGATCTTTATGTTAATATTTTGTGCTTTCTCACATGAATACTTGTATTAGTTCTAACTCAGATCCTCAGTGTCAATACACACTTCTGACAAAACGTCATATCATAGGAACCTAAAACAGAGAGGAATAGCATGCAGCTCCTGAGTCGAGCCTTTTTTGTTGAGTAGGCTCCTTTTATTGATTGCCGTCTATTAGAGAGAAACCGTGGGTGATGTCGAGCTGTGGGTGGGTTTTGCGTTTGCTGACTGTGAAAGCTTACGTGCTGAAATGCATTGGTAGCTTGCTGCTGTCAATCAAAGGGTTCATTAATAAGGTTTTTTTGCCATATTTGATGGAAATGTGCCATTAGCGATACACGATGAAAGTGATCTGACAACAATTATTCTTGATTATTCACGTCCAAAATGGACTGCTTATGTTTCCCTTGTTCTCATATCATATTGTTGCTCGTTCTCACAAAGGCAGATACTTGGCATTTGAATAGAGCATGTGTAGTGCTGCTAACAGCTTGAGATGGATTGACGTCGAGTGGAGCAGATGAAAGGAAAGTTGTTACCGCTCACTATGTCAGCTTTCTCTTTCTTTTCCTTAGCCCGGCAGCAGCGGCATCGACCTGGGATTAGTGTGACGTCACTGCCACAGCCAGACAGAATATATAATTGATGCTTTTTGCTGAGAGCCACGCTCCCTCTCTCCTCGCAGTCAGCATCAGAGACAAAGGGAGAGGAGGAAACTGGGAAGAGAAGAACCAGAGACGGAGAGCGAGAGAGAGAGGGAAGGAGCGCCAATACAGCAAAAAATCTTGTTTTAGTTTAGATTGCCCTCAGCTCAGCCACCGTCTTTCTCTCAGTCTTTTTCAGATTTTTTTCTCTCTCTGTTCCTCAGCACTGTTTTTTTTCCACCTCTCTTGTCTCTCCTCTCCCTTCTTTACTCCTTTTAATTGGATTTGGAGAGGAGAAGTGGGTGGCTACAAGCCGAGAAGGTTTTTTATTACTTTTATTCCGAACAGGGGCTAGCTGACCTCCACCTCTTGCAGTGCCTGGAATATCTGGATTCTTTACAGAAGCGTTGTGTGTTTTCTAAGATCCAGTGGATTGTAATTTTTTACGTTGCTGGTGGGCTGCCCCTGTACTTTTGCATGAAGAATATGGGTGGATATTGGTAGCATCCCCCTCCTCTCTTTAGAATCGAAGATATCAACAAGAATATTACTCAGAATTTCCAGCAAAGTAGCAAGCCTTACAGATCCAAACCGCAGGCGCTTTCAGAGACTAAGTTAACTCAGAGACGAGCTCTAAATTAGGTTCCACTGTTCTGCTCTTTGTCCTCAACACATGTAGGTTAATGGGGAGTCGCTCGCACTTTAGAGCAGATTTAGTTCACCTGGGGTCATGAAGAAAATCTGGTCCAAGAAAAGGTTCCAGGTAAGTCGTCTACAGTCTAGGTTCATCGTCTGTCAGAATGAAACCAATCACTGATGTTATTGTGATGTTCTGAGGCTTTATCTTCACACTTTTTTTTTTGCTCTCTACAAGTATCCCTAGCAGTTGCATTTTATTCATTGGTATATTGGATGCTAATCGTGCTATTATGTTCGTTGAGTCATCTAACCTTTATTTAACCTTAACATCTTGTGGAATAAACAACTTCCTCAGTGATTCCGGCAAGCTTGTTTTGATTTCAGTGATGGTGGTTTTCTTCTTAACCAAGCTGTGGAATCACAAAATGATTTAATTATGTTAGGATTAGAGCCAATAATGCTGTAAAAAACTGTTGGGTAATGCAGCCTGTTTGAAGAATAAACATTTTCTCTGGCAGACCGGAAACTGATGGAGCAAGAGAGAGTGATGCCCACAGGGACAATTATAATTACCCTGTTGCCTTGGTAGCAAGATGGGAGGGTGTTTAAAATACTGCAAACCAGCATGACAATTGACAAAGCAAAAACTGATTCCGAGGCAATGTAGCAATCTAAAGTCTTTTTAAATAGAGTCCTTTGTTTCATTATCATATGATCCGTTTTCATAGTTTGACAGTATGCGTTTTATGTTGGTGCCATTTTATGATGTTTGTATTGTGATATGCCTGAGGAGATGAAGCTTTAGATAGCATCAAAATATTGCGCACCCACATATTTACAGCTAACCCGCATTCCTAATACCTCAATTTGTTGTTGTTCTTTCCAGAGAGCTGGACACTCTAGCTGGATGTTTGGAAGACTCACTCATGGTGTGTTTAGTTCTATGAAACAATTATTGCTAAAGATTAAATGTAGTTGTGTGATGTAAGTGGCTTACCTATATGAGGACATGCATGTGTTTTGCAGCTGGTTAAAATGTAGATAGAAATAAAAATGGACATATTAGCTTGAATGCTTGAATGCTTGGCAAACAGCAAAGCCATTAGTGATGAGTTAATATTTTTAATACTTTGCTTTTTTTCTTATTCTAGAATTACTCATTATGCCAATGGATTTTGGAGCACTTTTGATTATGCAAAGATTGTTAGATTAGTGTGTGATGATGAAATGCCATTGAAATTGTGTCTGTGTGTGCGTGTGTGTGTGTCATCTGTGCACCAGCACATGCCTGCAGATAGACATTTGTTTCTATAGTAACAGTGCTCTTTTGTCCACCTCTCTTTTCTGCCGCTATGGAAGTGAAGTTTTTCGCTTGTGCAGGAAGCAAAGCAATGGTAATTGTTGCTTTACTTTTTCATCTCTTCCACGGTTCAGTAGACTTGTGGAGTAATGTTCCAGGTGATATTTATTTACAGGGAGTAAAGGGATCACTGGATTTTGAAAGATGATGCAGTGTCATTACAGAACATCCACAACATGCAGTGTTTTGGTATTGTATTGGCCTGTAGTGTTGGCTTGTAGTATTTATGATCTGTCATTACACATCATGCAGCACTTTGGCTTGTAGTTAAAAAAAAATAATGCTGGCATTATTTATATCATTGTACTTTATATGTACATGCAAGTACCAAATTTAAGGAAACTAGCACTGGTTAAAGCTTTAGTCTTTTGACAAGCCCTCCTTTGTTTCTCTGCAGACTCAGAAAACACAGATGATGAGAACGGGGAGTCCCAGGTCTCCATGGAAACGAAAGAAAGGTCCAGGGCTCAAGCTGTTGGCAGTCAGCTGAAAGGTAAAAAAAGTCTTTAATGCCTTTTCTTACAGTCATTTTACTCATAACTTACAGTATACTTGTTCATAAAGCATACAATACAGCAGGTGTAACCATTCCTGGAAGGCTGGGGTCACAGTTTGGTGATTTCCCTGCACGAACACACCTGATTCAACTTGTCAATTAATTTTAATTACCAGGTATAGTTGGTGTGTTTAAGCAGTGAATTTGGCAAGCTGTGCTGGACTCTAGCCCTACTGTACTGGAAACTGATGACCCCAGCACTGTATGCATAATGTGCTTTTTGCCTCTGTGTTAATACAGCATATTATCCATTCAGGTGGTGGAAAGACAACCGTTGCCCATATTCCCACTCCATGTGATGGCCCCATAGTGGAGAGAGAGATGATGGCCCTGGGCTCAAGAGCCCCAGGTCTACAAGACCCCCTCCAGCCTGGCAGGCAAGCAAATGCTGGGTGTGTTGAGAGCCCCCCTGTAAGACACCTGGGAGTGGAAGCCCTTGTGCGGGCCTCTCAGATCAGTGTGTACTACCCAGCAGTGGGGTCCGAGGAAAGTATGTCCTTAGCCAGTGACTACTATGGCAGCGTGTTCAGCCTCTATCGACAAAGGACGTTTTCCATATACAGTGTTCAGGAGTAAATACTGGCTCTCATGATGACACAGCACAAGGCTTTGTGGTTTAAATGGGCACAAACCAAATTTATGAGAATTTTTTTTCATCTTTTCAATTTTACCATTAATTCTTATTTGTCACAGTCTTTTAAGTTATCCTTTAAGTTCTCCCTTATATATTTTTTCACTTTTTAAAATTATTACCTTCCTTTGACTCCACTTGCTTTGTTAACCTTCGTTGGTGTTTCTGTGTTAGCATGCATCAATGTTTGTCACTACTTGCGTCTTTGCTTTCATGCATCGCTTGGTTTTCTGTTGTAGATCATGGTATTTATAGTACATTTTATTGTATTTGCTTTATTTGTTACTCTAGACTGTTGCAGTTTGACATATCACACCCTTTTGTTTCACTCCAAGACTTCAGTGTAAGACTTCAAAAGTGTTCTACCATTTCATTCTTTCTTTATCATAACATTACATTTCCCTCAATCACCCTATTCCAGGAGGCAGTTGGACTCTTTTACAGGGGAAGTATCCCCACTTGTCTCAAGTCAACCTTCAGAAAATGCCCAGAGCCCCATATCTCCCTCACACTTCATTAGTGGGGCAGAAATAACAACAGCCCACAATGGTAACAAAAAGGTAGTAGATGAAGAACTCCCAGGAAAAATCAAATCCTCCAAATCCTCCACCTCATCTCAGAGTAGTGGTTCCCAAGACCCAGCCTTGCTCCAGACACCCAAACTCCCTCGATCAGGTCCCAAAATCTTTGATAAGGTAAGAGCCTTTGAGGAACGCAGGCACAGCATTGATGCACCACAAGTGACTTTGTCAGGGTGTCCGACGGTTGGTTTCAGCCAAAGTACATCCAGCGGTTCTGAAGATGGGAGTAAAGCGTTTAAGGTCTGTGACAACCCCATGAGCGACGTGGCACTCAGAAGGTCAGTCTTCAAACAAAGAGCCTCCTCGCTGGAGGAACAGCCCGGCTATGCCCAAAAGGTCCAAAACTTTCAAAGCAAGTTCTCAGAGGAACTTCAACGTATTAAAAAACTTGTTGGGAGACCTAATATCAAGGAAGCTTTCTCAACTGAGCATCTCACCCAGACTGACAGGCAGCCAATGGGCAAGGCTGAACTACTTGATAGACTTAATGATGCAGATGAGAAAAAAATTAACAATGCAGAAGTATCTCAAGAGGACCTACCAAACCTACCAACAAAAGAACTGTTGCAGCAAACAAAAGCAGAGCTGTTCTATGAAGCACCAAAATGTGAAGGCATATTGAAAATAGAACCCCAAGTAGAACCTACTGATGAGTTACAGCTCAACCATTTAGTAGAGAGCATGGGCACCTTTGAAAAAGTCAGTGTCCAGAAAGTGTCAGAACAGTGTTCACCAAGGATTACCAGAAAAACCTTGGGAAGTAGATTACCATCCCCTACAAAAGAGGTACCATCTCCAGAGGCTGAACAGGCATTGCCCAAGAAGGATCGAAAGTCTTCAAGCCCTGTGGCCAAAAGAGCACAGTCCTCCCTCCAAGAAGAAGCAACCCGAGCACCTCCAAAGCCCCCAAGGCTTCTTGGTTCAGCTTCCACATTTCCAAGATCATTTAAGGGAAGAGAAGAGAAGAAGTCCCGATCACTCCTGCCTAAACTGACCATACCTACCATTGTAGTTGAAAGTGAGCCTATGGAGGAAGACGAGCAGGTGACAGTGTGTAGCCAGAAAATAATAAAAAGAACTGAGGAGAAGAAAAGAGATGGAAGAAGTAAACAGATGCAACCAATGTCCCCAGAGCAAGGTGAGAAAACCAGTTTAGATACAATATGAAGTGTGATGGAGAACAGGATGTCTCAAGGTTGAGCTAAAAATATTCATGTGGTGTTCTCTTGTAAGTGTAAAAGAACGCACACAGAATATAATGTGTTCTGATAGAGACATTTATTTCTGTGAAAGGGCAGGAATGAAAGTGTTTAAAAATGAAAGATTAGAGAATTTCTTTACTTTTTGTTTGACTTTTTGATTGTCAGTAACTATACAGGTGTTATGATACATGTGACATAAATCGACTCTTATGGGCCTCCTTACAAAAAAATTTGTTTAGTAAATGTTCAAAAATGTTGCAAAATAATGTTCCTGCTATTGCTGTGTCTCAACCAGTATACTTCAGCCACTAGCCTACACCAACTACATTAACTGAAGCTCTTATGTAGGCTAATGGTTGAATGATACTATAAATTTATTGTAGATACCAGTAAGTCATGGGTATAAAATTGCATGAGTATAGATAGAAGAGGTCCAGTAAAGAAATTAGCTATGGGCCCCAGTGCACTGCTGGCACCAATGAATACATATACAGATGACACACTACACTATGACACCATTCTGCCAGACACCGAAGATAATGAGGTTGTTGCTGGCTGGTATGATGCTGTGATTGTCAGTGGATTGTTAACAACCAAAACCTGTGCTTGGCTTTCCCAGAGGACTCCTCTGATGATTCCTACATGTCTGCAGAAGAGGATCCAGAAGGGCTTTCTGCATTTAAACTTCCTCTTAAGGATGCTGTGGTTGCCCCTGGCTCAGAGGTGACGCTGGAGTGCATCATCACAGGAAACCCTTACCAAGGCAAGACTGTTTAAACTTCTTCTTTTGGCCACGGTACATTGCCATGATCTTGAGGCAATGTAAATTGCTAATGTTATGTGCAGCAGCAATGGGAAATGGCAAATGCATGAATATGTGAGGGATAGTAGACAATAAGAACCAAATACATGGGGTAATATCTAAAAATTGCCTCAGAAACCTCCCAGTGTGTCACAGTCTTTTTCTAGAGCTGCCAGATATGGAGTTATAATCAGAAATTTGGTATTAGATAAACACCTTCAATAGCTTCAAAAGCTATTAGATTGTAGCTTTTGACATAACCCTTAGAAGTTTAGTTATTAATGACATTTGACTATGTTGTCTAAATGCAACTGCACAATCAAATAATTAACTGCATAGTTGGTTACATTTACATTGGACTGTCTGCTTCAACAGGTTGAGCCAAGTGCATACTAAATGATTAACCATGATTTTCCAGTCACACACAAATTTTTGAGATCTACGAGGAACCCACTCTCTTTGAGTAAAATATCATGTAATGTGTGAGCCTCCTCTGCAGTCTCTTGTGTAGTGTGTACACAACTACGTAGACAAACAACTGGTTGAAAGGGATAAATATTGTATAGTGTGAGCAGTACAGTGATTCTGAGACTCTGAAAATGTAGTGTCTTGGTATTGGAGTCTTCAACAGGTTTAAGTGTTTACTGTTTGTGTTATTGTCAAGAAAAGCAAAAGCACAAAACAAGACTGCAATAACCAGACAATAACTGTTCAAACAATAGTAACATTTACACAAGTTCACAAACGCGGTATTGATTGAAAGTGTATAATCTGCCTTTTTGAGTGTAAGAAACAATTAATATAATATTAAACCATAATTTCAGATTAATGTTGTTACTGTTGACAATAATTTTTTTCTACTGAAGTTTTGCTCTCTCAGGCTTTAAGGATATGTGAATTAAGAATAAAATTGTTATTTTACTGGGACTAACATTGTAGTTAAAATGGCCTACACATGCAGTGCTCCAGTCACAGCGCGTTTCTGAATCATGACTGGTCTTTGGCAGTGACGTGGGGGAAGGGTGACATGCAGCTAAAGGTTGGTGCGGGGTATGAGGTGAAAGTAAAGGGAGGGCAGCACACTCTCCACATCTGCCAGATGAGACCCAGTGACGCAGGCACCTACTCTGTTATTGCCACCAGCAAATTGGGACGGGTTTCCAGCAGGGCCACACTTTTCATCCAGTCAGGTGAATGGAATGTCCAGAGTTTTTTGCCCTCACAGTTTGACTACCCATTATACTGGAACAAAATGAGCATTCAATATGCTTGAATGCGTAACTGTACTTTGGAGCCTTTTCTCCTTCCCTAAGCACGTGTTCCCTTTTTCATACTAGAGACCATCTCAAATGACGGGCCTTTGAAAGTGCAGCTTAAGCTCCTCACTGGTTGCCATGGCGATTGATAAAAAAAGAGCTCTCTGTCCTAAATCTGAATGATGAAATTATCATTTTTTGTCATTTGTTGGCCTTCATTCTGCTAATGATAAGAGACTTTTCCATTTGCTGTCTTCTTTTTTCGCTCACAAAATGATAAGGGATTCACCTTTAGTCCAAAATGTGCTTATTTGAATCACGTAGTAAACTAGCAGGCATTTCAATAGATTGGTAAAATTTCGAAGATTGAATAATCATGGTTTTAACTTCAAGTAATCTTAGTACTTGGATAAGACTCTAAAAGATTTGAGAAGCAAAATTAGTCCTGCTATTGTTAACTTCAGCTTTTTTGAGCACATTCTAAGCACACATTTTCTGGATGCAGTGGATTAACTGAATGTGCCACGTTCCTCTCCAGTAAAGCTGCAGCTATTTCTCTAAGTGCTTCTGCTATCTGGGGCTAGCTCAGAAGCCAGGCCTGTGTTTCCTTATTAGGCCACTAAGTACACAGTGTATTTATAGTGTCCCTTGTTCCTTGAAGTAATTGCAGCCTGTTTTCATTTCCCACTGCAAGATTAATGCGCCTTTATAGCCAGGAAATTCGACCATGGGTCAGACTGAACAAGATATTGCGCTCCCAACTGCTGCGTACTTGTGAATTTCATGAAACGCACAGGGGAAACTTCAGACAACATGCATGGGACCAAATTAATAATGACAGTGGAGCTGATTGGTTTTGGGTCATAAACAAATTCAGAGTGGCTAGTGATTGTGAGAGGTAGCAAGGGATTGTAGAAGGAGAAATAGAGACAGAAGGAGGGAGGAAGGGAGACAGAAGGTGAGATTGCAAATGCAGATTGGGAGAACAGTAAGTTATAGTTATTAAATAAACCATGACAGGCTGGCATACTGAAGATGCTGCAAGCCTTTGTGTTTCGCTCAGAGACAGCGAGTATCACCTTACATGCTAACTGTAACATTCTCTGCTTTTTTAATCTCTTGCGTGTTACTATAAACACAGAATGCTCCTTTTGCTTCTAGTGTTTATTTATTCTTTTTTTTATTTTGATTCTTATGTTTATATATTATAGTCTGGTTAATACTGAAAGAGAACTATCTATCTGCAATGTGAATTAAAATAAAAACACAAGCTAATTCGTACAATATAGTACAGGGCAATACAGTACAATATATCTGTAATATGTTGTGTTTATCATTGTGTATCAGTCAGTGTTAGAGGTAGTACAGTACAAAATACCATTGCAGTAATGTCATTACTTTGTATATAATGTGTGCATGTGCGTGCTACCTGTATCAGCTGACTGCGTGAATCTGATTCTTAAAAAGAGCAGTGCGAGCGCAGTAAGTAGTGTAAACTCAGCAAACAATCTGTCAAAGCATCTAATGGATAGAAATCGCTGTGTTGAAGAGGACAGAGCCCCAAACCTCACCTAAACAGGCAAGACTTGATTTTTTTCAGACACTGCTCTATAAGTTGTTAGGTACAGTGAGTGTGTTTCTTTTTCACCTCTTTTTGATTCAGAGATCTGGACGATATTAATAACAAGTTTATTTAAGCAAGTCTTTCCTGCCCCTGTTGACACAAGCTGCCATAACAGGGCACATCAGGCGTAATAAGTGCATTGTTGTGTAGGCTACAGTCAGACCTCTCAAAAGAAGTATTTCTGGAATTTTCCGCTCACATAGAGTGTGCACTGCCTCGGTCCTTCCTCCTATGAGTGGAAACATTTTGATTGGGTCAGAGACTGAAGGATTAATCAATTTTGTCTCCAGCTGTGGTCAGTTAGAACTCACTCTCACTACCATCTGCTTCTGCTCATACACCACGACCCTCTATAATCTCTCTCCTTGGTTGCCAAGCTCTGCGGTACCATGGCAACATCCATCCTGGTAATAAAATCAAATACAGTGGCAGTGTAGGCTACATTTATGCTACTGAGAATGCTATCTGTCTGTCTGTCCATCTGTCTATCTATCTTTCTATCTGTCTTGTAATAATTGTCGGGTTAACTGTGACGATCGCATTGTATCTGTTTGTCTTTTCTATCTATATATCTGCCTGTGTTAGGCCTAGAGATATATTTCCTGTTTGCTATACATTAATGTACATTAAACAATTATTGAAATGTGTTTACATTATTTTATAATAAATTACAGTTGGTTAAATCATTTAAATTCAGTTTACAGAATTTCCATTTAATTTCCATTCCATTTATGTTATTTACATTCTGTTTATCAACAGATTTGAGTCTGCATTTCCAGCTTTTTCCTGTTTGTTTTGGAAAGGCGTTGAAAAAATACATTTTTCTGCAAAACAAGAATGAATACGCAGCAATTACTTTTATCTAATTAAAATCATAATAAAATATCTCCTGTTCAACTTACAAGCTCAAATGTGGCATTAATTGAAAGTTCATCCACACTTTTGACAGAATCTCTCTGCTTGTTTTTTTGAGCTACATATGCCATTTCAAGCCATTTCAAGGTGTATGAACCTTGAGGCACATAGGAGAGTTAATTCTTTGTTGTATTGTGTTGTTGTATTGTAATTGCATTGTGTTTAAATTTTTTTTGTATTGAGGGCTCCTTATGACAGTTATAACGTCACAACAGCCATATAACTATCTATGGGTTCCCGTTTTAGAGCCTGTACAGGTGAGAGGTGGAACTTTGAGCTTGCCGCTGGAGCAGACTTGTAGTCCAGTGGCCTCTGATGAGGAGTTTCTGAGCCCCATGGAGGAAGTTGTGGATTTTGAGGTGCTCAACAGGACTGAGACAAGGTCACAGTTAAAAGAACCTCCCAAATTTCAGGTGTCATGTTTTTTCTTCCTTCTCTCAAATGGTCTTGACTAATTTGATCTGAACTTATGTTTGTTACAGTTAATGGATTCATCATACAAATAGCTTTTGTGTCAGCTGATGTCAATATCTGCATGTCTGCTGATGCAAATATTAATTCGTCTTGTCAGGTTGCCCTGGGTGATCAGGTAGTGACCGAGAGAGAAGAAGTCATTATGTGTGTCCAGGTGTCTGGGCAGCCGAAGCCAGTGATCCACTGGTGGGAGATTACATTTTCTATTTTCTATGAATCAGAATTCCGTCTGATCATGAATTACTGTACTTTTACTGTTGAACCACAGTGTATTTAAAATGGATGGAGTGGATGAACTGTGACAGATAATGCAACTGTATTTCTAGGCTTAAGGACAGAGTGAATATCAGAACAGATGGCCGGCACGAGCTCCGTGAAGTGGACAATGGGAAATGTGAGCTGAGAATCAAGTCGGCTGAAAAATCAGATGCTGGAGTTTACGTGTGCAAGATTATTAATGAATATGGCACCAAACAGACTGAATGCCGACTGGAGGTGAAAGGTGAGAGCGAGAAAGAGAGACAGACGTAGACATATCTATCTCATACAAGAGGTAGACATAGTGATACAGATTAGTTATGGAGTGTTTGAATCCTTGAATCCACAGCACTGTGCCAGGCTTGTAATATCCATGGCAACCCATTTGTTTCTCAGCTCCTCCTCCACTGGAGGTTTTGGCCATTACCAGCCCTGTGCAGGATGTGAGGGTCCGCGCTGGCAAAACAGCCCTGTTCGAGTGTCATGTGACTGGTCCGCAGGACATAGATGTGGACTGGCTGGCCAGTGGGAAGCTGATACAGCCAGCCCTACTGGACTGTAAAATGCAGTTTGATGGGAAGAGGTGCCGCCTGTTGCTCAGATCCGTCCATGAGGATGACAGTGGCTGCTATACCTGCAAACTCAGCACAGCAAAAGGTGAGCCTACTGAGTGACTAATAACTCTTCTTTAATGAAAATGAACAGTTCAACTTATAAAATGATATATTAATTAATTTTTAAAAACTGTTTACAATAGTGCTGCAAACCAGTATGTATTTTGCATATATTTATATTTGCATGTATTTAATATCTAATATAGTGGTTTCTAAATCAAACTGCTTGTACAGTAACAACTTATTTTAGTTATTATGTTAATAATAATTTCAATAAAAATCAAAACAACAATGTATCAAGTGTTTGTTGTTATATAAAGCAGAGGTTTAGTATATGTATTGTTTAGTATATGTATTGTATAGTGTATGTATATGTATATTTTTTCATATGTGATGGTCAGAGGAGCTCATTACCAGCGCCAAGCTCACAGTCATCCCATCAAAGGAACCCCTCTTTACACGAAAGCTAGAGGCACTGGAAGTTATTGAAGGTCGATCTGCACGTTTTGACTGTAAAGTCAGTGGCACACCACCACCTGAAGTAACATGGATACACTGTGGTGAGAAAAATCCCACTAAGCCGATTTCATTGTTTTTACTCCAGATCCACAAAATAAAACATTTGGAAAGAGCAGGGTACAACCATACACATTTGGTATATACCTTTAAATATATTTGTGCATGATTTATATACATTTTTTATACAAGCAATCTACATATTTCAACTACAAATAAAAAGCAAAAACTTCAGTTTCTGGTATGTACTGTTCATAAACCATTCAGCTGAAAGTGGCAGGAGTTTTACAAATTACTGCAGACACAATTAAGTCAATGCAGTGTGATGTTTGAACCAGATGAGCTTTCAAACCTAAATACATAAAAATATATTTGTTAAATTAAATATGATTATTGAAAAGAGGAATTTATAATTGAGGATATGAACTTTTCTCATTATTTTAGTTGTAACAGTGTTACAACTAAGCCTACCTTGTGCAGGATGTACTTTAGCTTGGTCAGCTCATATTGTGAATTGGTTACATGTGTCAAAATGGTACAATATTACAGCTACAAAGATAATGATTAAAAAATTGTAAGTGTGACTTCTGTGACTTATTATATCTTAGTAATCAACAAACGCTTATGATGAAAAAAATGACTTGTATGGTACAAAAACGTTTATTGTTTATAGGCTGAATCTCGAGGAATATGTTTGCTGTGAAATTGTGCTGATGACGTTGCTATGGGAAAATGAGATAAAAGTGTTCTACTTGACTCTGTTTAACTACATAAAATGTCCATGTTACATTTAACCCTGCATTAGTTTGTGCCCTGCTCTCCCCTACTTCTCCCAAAAGTCCTGACATGGCTAACTGGGCAAGCTAGGAGTAACTTATTATGATGATTATTTTTGTACAATGCAATAGAGCCTTACTTTAATACCTTAATTTTTTTTGAGAGTTTCATTAAGGAAATGTCTGTTCTTTCCCCTCATTAGAACAACCAGTAGTGGAGAATGAAAATATTCACATTTTCACAGAGGGTCGACATTCCCTGGCCATCTCTCATGCTACCAAGCAGAATGAGGGGTTTTACTCGGCTATTGCTCGAAACACTCATGGTCAAGCCGAAACCTCAGCTGAACTCTATGTGCAGGAACCTCGGCCAGTCATATCATCTCACATGTAAGACATGTTGTCAGTATTCTAGATCAGCGGTTATCCAGCTCTAGCTCTGTACTGCATATTTGGGGGGTTGTTCCTGCTCTTACATATCTGGGGTCTCATTTATCAAATATGTACATGCACAGTTTTGTGCATAAACTGTGCCCATGCACATTTCTACACATTTGATTTAAGAGTTTTTTTCTTATCAGTGAGACTCTGCATATATTTAGAAGTACTTGTAACCATACATATGCAGAAAAATCTAGTGGTAGAAAAGTGTAACCACATGAGACACAAACTTCCAATTCTTGTCAACCATTTCAGCGTAATTGATGATGCTCATATACAGTCGTATGGAGAAGTTTGGGCGCCCCTGGTCAGATTATGTTTTTGTTAGTGTTCTAAGTGAAAATAAGTTAACACATCCTCTACACAGAAAACATTTTAATGCTCAATTACTGTTTATTTTGGGGAAGAAATGTGGCATATACAAAGGTTATGGTACATTTGGTATGTTATGTTTTTTATTTTCCATGAAAATAGAAATTGTGCTCTAAAATTAGCAAAAATTGTCATATTTAAATCTGCTTAGTGTAGTGGATGTTCTAAAATGTTTTCACTTGGAAGATAAGCAAAACATCTAATTTGTCCAGAGATGTTCAGTGTTTTGCATAAAAGCATAGATGAAGCACTGACAGGTGACAATAAAATCAAATAGAAGTAAAAACTGATTATGGTGCAGACAGTAACTAATCTTGCCTTGCTTGAAACTTTGCCATGTGGTTGTTCGGGGAGTATGTTTTATGGCAAGCCAATTTAGTCTTGCTTTTAAATCTGTTGAAATCAGAAGTGCAATGTGAACAAATAATAATGTTAATACTAGTAGAGATGAAGAAGAATTTTGAATTTGAACTAGTAGAATTTTGAAAAAAAAATAATTATAACATCAAAATTAAACTATGGCTACTAGAAGTTATTTTCTAGGGTGTATGAATTCAGTGAGTACTAGTAAAAATTCATTGCAGTTTATTTTAATGGGAGGAACAATGTGGTAATTCAAATGACAAATGCAAAAATTAGATTTAGATTTAGGCATAAAGCAACAGGAAATGAAGCTATTTGAGCATATTAAAGGGAAGTTATTTGCCATATATAGCCATTTGGGTGTTGTGGAGGATTTATCATAATTATTTGTGTAGAAGTGCATACATTATGCAGCGGTACAGTGGGCCCATGGTTTAGTATGTATCACGTTTTTTGAGACAAGGCAACAGTACAGTTTCGGTATCTTTATATTTAAGAAAAAAAACACGTTTTAAACAATTAACTGTTTATTTTACCTATAGACAAATAAACAACAACATGAGTTACTAGGTCTGGTTTCTGTCTCTAGTGTATGAAATCAAGAGGAGGAAAACATTAAAGCTTAACTTCTCTCTGTCTCGCTAGCGTTTGCCATTGTCACGTTAATGCTAAGAGAATGTTTTTAGTTCCCCCTTTCTCCTCCATCTCATATTTGCACACAGAGGGCCGAGAGATGTTCTGTGGATCTGCATGTACAATGTGCATGTAGTCTGCAGCGCAAAAAGCAAGTTTTAGAAATTATAGGAAAAAAACAGGCATATCATAATACAGTGGTTCATGTGCACATATTGAACCGTAGGGGTGTAACAAACGGTTCAACAATATACTGTGTACCATTGCATCCATAGCTTATTTATGTTTGATTAATGCAAAATCTTTATAACATATTATATGCACAATAAATAAGGCCCCTGACTGATCTAACTTTAATTTTACAGAAGAATAACCAATAAAACATATATTTGCTGTGTTTGTTTCAGGTCAAGATTGGAGAAAATGCCTTCCATACCAGAGGAGCCAGAGGTGCTGGAGGGAGAGATGGAGCATAGGACGATGCCAGACTTTGTGAAGCCTGTTACCGACCTCGAAGTGGTAGAGGGGAAAGAGGCATTACTGAAGTGTAGAGTGACAGGCATGCCATACCCCACCATTGCCTGGTACCATAATGGCCAAAAGATAGAAAGTACTGAAGACAGGAAAATGACACAGTGTAAGTCAGCCTTATGACCTCAACTCCAAGCATTCTGGATGTTCGTTCTGTAATCATTCATACATATTTGAACATGAACTGTATCTACACTGAAGAAAAGAATGCACTAAATTCCTTTTATTCAAATGGGTACATTACAATCACATGATTAAAGTATATTGTATGAGCATAGTTATTGCCAAAAGAAAGTAAACTGAGAGAAAAAAGTGTGTTTATGTAATAGATTGGTGCTGTCACATCTTCAAAGTGGTAAAATGGAAATAATGTTCTTGACACTTAATGGAAGTTAATGGGATTTTATTGAGATTGTATTCTATGTCATTTTGGAGCACCTCTATTGGTCCATTCATCGTGAAATTTTGTCACATTTTAAAGACCAGCTGGCATTTCCAAATTCTGTGAAAAAAAATAAAATATGGAAATACAAGATTTTGTTTTAACAACAGCAATATTTTACTAAAGTGGAAGTGATGTCCACATTAAGTAAATTCAGTGCATTACTTTTTTCAGTGTATTTTATACTGTGCTGGTGATGTTACCGATTCTTCTGCAGTAATAGGGTGGATGCCACAACTTTGCATCATGAAATATCAGTGACTGACAATATGTTAGTGTATTTGTTTTTTAGGTGTTTTTTCAACATAAAAACGTATTGAAGTATAAAATACTGTGCAAGACTTTCTCTAGCAGTTAAGAGGTGCATTGCACCAAAATCTTCAAAGCTGCTTCATCTCACTGTCCTTTACTTTGTTCCAGGTATGCAGCAGTTTTATAATTAACTACATTGCTTACTTTCTCTTCTTTGGTCTCTAGACGGAGATGTCCACAGTCTGGTTATTCGGTCAGTGTGTCATGGCCACAGTGGTGTGTATAAAAGCGTCATCTCCAATAAGGTGGGGAAGGCCGCTTGCTATGCTCATCTGTATGTGACAGGTAAGAGACTATCATGGCTGAGGTATGGCTATATATCCACATGTAAATGTTCAGTATTCTTCCTAGAGAAGCTGTTACAGAAGCTGTTTTCTCTCAACAGACATCATACCTGAACCACTAGATGGGCCTCCAGTAGTTGAGTCCATAACTGGAAGAACCATCACGATAAGCTGGAAAAGACCAAAGAATCTTGATCCATCCATTGGTAAATACCCTTTTTGCGTATTATTGCTTGATAGTGCTTTTTGTGTAATTTCCCCATGCATCTGTAATAAGCTCCTGTATTTATAGCATTATAGCCTATAACTGCTTTTAAAGCACATTTTAAAACCTTGTTGATTGAAAAGTTTGATTTATGGCTTTGCCTCTATGCATCCTTGTTTTTAATATACTGGTTTACTATTTAAAGAGGTTTTATTGACTCTTTACTTTTTAATAGAGCTCCACAAATCATTACATAAGCAGATGCTTGCAGTACAGGCAAAAACTTATTTTAAGCATATACATTATTCAAGCACAATCACTCTTTCTCTTATGAATAATGTTTAAAAAGGAGACAGCCATGTTGTCATACAGTATTTTTCACAAATGTACCAAGAGAGATGTTCCAGCTAGAGCTTTGGAAGAAAAAAGTGTTTCCTTAAAGCAGTGCTTCAATCAAAAGTCATTTTATATAGGTGTCCATGTTTTAAATACTGCTTTGTGCCAAATGGACATATTTGATTTTTTGTATATCAAGAAATCAAATCATTTTTCATCCTCCATAGATTCAGTTACATTTCGCTTTTGCCAGAAAACTAATTTTCTCTCATCAGTTACCAAGTTTTATACTTTTGTGCAAAATAACAATGAGACGTCCAGCACCACACTTAACTTGTGATTTTTCAGGCTAAATTGACTGCACCGCTGCTTGTTTTGATGAATTACATTACTTAATTATCAGATATCTGCAGAAAATTATTTTTTGTCAGTACTTTGATCAACATGTTTACATGCACTTAATGAGATAATATAATTGCATAATGAGAAAACTCCAGGTCTGCATAAGTCAGGCAATATTTGGATTTCTGCTTTGCAACCTGCCAGTAAACTCACAGAAGAATAAGGATGTGATATAAAAGTCAGACTATACATAATGAATGGAATGTTTTATTCTTTTTACAAATGGAGTAACTTAACCAGCAAATATGAATATATATGATCTTGTACATAGATGGCACTTTCCATGAATAGAGTTTATTTTAAGCCTTAAAAACTTTTCAATAATGTACTTTTTTCTTTGGTGTTTTTTGGCAAAGCAGTAATCAAAGTAAGAGCTTAAACTTCAGAAAATGTTATGTGTCCACCTCAGGCTGTCAAATCAGATACTGTATGTAGATGCTGTTTTTCTCAAATGTACAGCATTTTTTGCATCCCTTTTACCAATGATTAGGGGCATGTATAAATGACATTTAAAATTCATTATTTTCTAACAAGACATACATATATTTATGAAATGCTTTTTTAAGTTTTAAATTAAATAATAAATATTATAAATATATTATGTTTTCTATATTTCTGATATATATTACTTCAAAACACTTAAGGTTTTTGCTTTCTGTAAATGTAGTACAGCCTTTCTTAGCAATTTTAATTAATAATTGTTGTTCCCATATTGATGCTATTGGTAACATAATCTGTTAAATTAAAATGTTTTACTGTGCCCAACCACATTTTTCATACATTGTTTTGATAAATTTGTCAGGAAAGACGCTCTAGCTAGAGAAATGCATTTTCTGATACTATGAGATGAGTGTAAAAGCTCAATCTGGTTAATGAGAATTGTAATGTAACTGTAAATGTAATTGTAACTGATACATGAGCACTCATTACATAAATTTTAAATGCAGAGGTCTTCCTGTAGCTGTAATATTGCTGGTTTTCTTATGTGCCTTTTTTAACAGACCCTAGTTCCCTCATGTATGCTGTACAGCGGCAGTCTTTGGGCTCCATCCAGTGGACGATCATAGCGTCCAGTCTGAGGGAGACTTCTTACACTGTGACCTCCCTTTCAAAAGGAGTCCGATATGCCTTCAGGGTCCTCTGCAGTACTGGCAAAGCCTTCAGCAAACCCTCTCAGCCTACGGATCTGGTTCAGCTCATTGATAAAGGTACAGAATATCTGTAGATTACTAATTACTAGTCAGTTTCAGCCAGGAAACATTCAAATTATGGAACTTGCTGTTAGGGATGAGATATGCTAAGTATTGCAATATGAAATATTGTGGTTAATTACTTTCGACTGCAAGTTATTTTTTATCCAAAAGAAAACTTTGTTTTCTGTCTTATGAAAGTCTAATTTATTAAGTTAAACAAAATTGTGAAGTAGACAAATCATGTTAAAAAACATTAGGCTCATTTACCAATATCTTTTCAAGTTTTTAATTAAATTTGTTCTTGAGAAAGGTCCTAAGAAAAAGTCTACATCAGATTCATGACATGTTCTTAAACTGCAGAACAGTTCTCACCTTTGTGCTCTTTTATTCAGAACAATTTACAGTGGCAGGTACATGCCATTTGTGAAAGCATTTTTGCTTTCACAAATCAGGATGTTATGTTTTTGCCATGTCACGTACCTTGTAGAAACCTGTTTCTACAGAAGAAACCTATATGGTCAAGTTTTAATAAGCATTCAGATGTCATTGGAGGCTGACATCTTTTGTGTTTTGTGGTGTTGTGGATGACATTTTCAGCTATATCCATTTATAATAAACGCTAGAGTGCTGGTATTTACTCTAAAACATCCAAGGCCAAGCACTTGCAACTACATATATCTGTATACACTGAACAACTGCATGCGTCATAAAAAAGAACAATATACACCAATTATAGAGAATGTGTAAAACTACAACGTAAGTGTAGTAGCCGCGTAAACTGCATAGAAATACATAGCTGGTGGCTGATTCAAAGTGGTACTACCGTTTTGCTCATTCCATTTTGTTCATTCCAACTTGTTTGCATACTTTAAAAGCTAAATCTGTTTATGCATGTTATATATATATATTAGAATGTATTGAAGTAATGTAACATGTTTTTTTCTGTGACACCCAGCCTGTATAAACCATTTTCTACAGAAGAAACCTTTGTGACTAAGCATATGCATTAAATGTCTGTTGTGGACACAGTAAAGACTGTTTTTTTATGTTTTTTTGTTTTTTTTTTTGTGTTGTGGGTAGGGCTGGGTGATTAATCGAAAAGTAATCGAAACCGACATTCAGAACATCTAACCAACGTAATCTTCCCCACTCTGTGTTTTCATGTACTGTCCCCTTAAAAATTACCGCGCGTGTAGTCACGCGTGTGTCCACTCTGCGACATGGAAGCTAAGGCTATGTTTGCACAGCAGGTAGAAATGGATTTTTTTTGTTTGGCTGTTCACAATATCTTTTAAATGTGACCTGTATGCGACATCGGTCTGAACAGACCACGCCCCGCATGCACAAAAAAACAATGCTTCCCGTTGCTTCAGGTGGCTCATCCAGAGGTAAACAATCTTAACTATGAACGAATGCCAGTCGCTCCCGGAGCTTTCAGTTTCGTCTTCGCCAGCATCACCGGAGCCATCATGAAGCTTCACTGACCGACAGCTGGGCTCATCACCCAGAATGTGTTCGAGCACGGAGGGGTTTTGGATGAGTCTCTTCTAATTTTTGTAGAGAAATATCACCCCAAATGTTTATTAGGTCTCAGCAGCGCGAAATTATGACGAATGTCGAGTTGGATTGAAGTAAAAGTCGCGTGAATTACGATCTGGCTGTTGAGACAATTTAAATTAAGATATGCAGAGCATATTTACAGTACAAACCTTGTCAGTGAACTATGAGGGCAAAAAAACAAACAAAAAAACCCCAAAAAATAACCGTTCATTAATCGTAATCGAGGTAAAACATTCAGTTAATCGTGATATTGATTTGAGGTCATATCGCCCAGCACTAGTTGTGGGTGACATTTTCAGCTATGTCCAGGAGTCACAACTATAGATTTGGCTTACAATTATGTAGAATCTCCAGCAGTGACAATTCTGTTTAAATGTTGCAAAGCTGAAGTGCATGCCGGAAATGCAAGGCTGACTGTTTTAATGTACAGAGTGACTTTTACCTTTTGATTTCAGGGCAGTACCTACGCAAAGCACCAGTCATCCTGGACAAGCCTGATATTGTGTATGCAGTAGAAAACCAGCCTGTTGTCATTGCAGTAACCCTAAACCATGTACAAGCAACGGTCACTTGGAAAAGGTAAGAGTGCAGTTCAAAACTATAGAATTTTTATTTGCATATTTAGTTTGTTTAATACTCAGCAAACCCTGGTTTCACAGGAGGGGCGTGGCACTTGTGAATAAGCCTGGTACATATGAGATGCTTATGCCAGATGATGACCAGCATGCTTTGAAGATTTCCAGGGTGAAGGGAACTGACATTGGGCAGCTGATTTGTATGGCAAACAACCAGTACGGCTGTGACCTTTGCACTATTCAGCTAGCAATGGCAGGTGAATGTCCCTTTCTTTGGAGCTCATCTCTCACAGACTTTCAAAGTTACATAAACACACCCTTGTTTGTCTGGTACTTACCTTAAAACATCCACCACTGAGCACTCCCAGCTCCATTTATTATCCATCTGCACTGAACTTTGTGGTAGACAGTAGCACTGGGATTTTGTACCTTTTAGCACCTCCTGCTTTTGAGACCATCATGGAGGACTTGGATGTGTGTGTTGGTGAAACGCCTCGTTTTCCTGTGGTTGTTGGTGGGAAACCTGATCCTGACATTTTATGGTACAAGGTGAGCTATAAACTATGAACTGTCACAGTTCAGCTTCCATCAATAATTTTATCTTCTGTCGTTTTCTACATAGCAAAGTTTTGTTGCCTTTATCTTATAACCTGACATTAGTGATATGTGAATTATATTTGTTTATTTCAGGACAATGTACTGCTTGCAGAGAGCAGTCATTTCACTTTTGTGTATGATGACCAAGAGTGCTCCCTTATGGTCCTCAGTGCACACCCTGAAGATTCAGGAGTGTACACTTGCACAGCTAAGAACCTGGCAGGAGAAATCTCGTGCAAGGCTGAGCTCACTGTCCATGCTGGTAAAACATAAACCGGAAAGAAACAGTGGCTACTTGCAAACATTTGAATCACACTTAATATATTATTAATTTTTATTATGTTCAGTTTTTATTTAACCACTTTAATGGCCAGGAGATTCTGGTGGGTCCAGGCTTTCTTTTCTCACTGTTATAATGTAATGTCCAGGTTTCACTATTTTCTATGTATTTACTGTCTAATAAGTCTTAGGATGCAGAATGCCTGGGATTTTTAGCAATTAAAGGTTAATTTGGCTAAATAGCCCTGAATTAAAAACAGCTTGTCCTTCAGAGCTTCATGCACTGAATATAATGAAGACACAGACATAGGCTCTGGATAATTTATGTATATTTTTAGCTTCCAGTGAAGTCATTTGTCCATATTTTTATTCACATTGGAGTAGGAGATTTAGCCAGTGATGTGTCTTAAGGGGGTTATTGTGGATACTGGATATAAGCTATAATTTCATGTAAATAAATTTCATAATCTTAAAAATTTTAGTCTAAATTTTTGTTCACTACCACAGCAAAACTGGTGGAGAAGGAGGAGGAGCAAATAGAGGATGAAGGGACCATTCTAAGGCGCATGCGCAGGTTAACAGATTACTATGACATCCACAAGGAAATTGGCAGGTCTGTCAGAAGGCTTTCATGTTTGGCATGCAGTTATAAAAATTATCTGACCTTGAATCTGTTTTTAAAAGCTTCTTAAAATGTTTGTTTTTGCAGGGGAGCTTTCTCATACGTTAAACGGGTGGCCCGGAAAGGAGAAAAGCTTGAATATGCTGCAAAGTTCATATCAGCTCGGGCCGAAAGGAAAGCCTCTGCTCTAAGAGAGATGGAGCTACTGGCTGAGTTAGACCATGAGAGGATCCTCTATTTTCATGATGCATTTGAGAAGAAAAACGTTGTGGTTATCATCACAGAACTGTATCCTTTCTCTGTGGATGTACAGGGTTTTCTTTAGCCAGTAGTTCCTCTTAATGTCAGTGTGAATTGAAAATCCTAATACATTTTCCTTCTGTTAACGGTGTTAGGGTGGGTTTCTGAGCTAGCTGAGCATTTTTTCCTTGATGATTGGTGGTGGTGGTGGAAAGGGGAGGTGAAACATGACATTATTGGTTAATATTAATTTTCCCCACCCACTAGTGGATGGTGACATTACCAAAAATCTAAAGATGTTTTAGAGGCAAAAGTCATTACATTTTGCTAGAAGATTACAGGAAAACAAAAATACAACTTTTTAAATTGTATCATAGGATGAATCATGCTTAATATGATTAGGGACATGAACCTAAAAGGTACGTTTAGGATGACTTAAAAGAGCAGTGGTTCATTGCTTTATTATTCTTTACTGCTTAATGAAGATGTCATGAGGAGCTTTTGGAAAGACTGACGAAGAAGACCACCGTCTTGGAGTCTGAGGTTGGTTCACTTATTCTGTATTCAGAGAACTTGAAAAAACTGAGATGATTACACTTGTGAAAGCAGTTATTGGTGTGTCTTACAGATTCGGTCTTGCCTAAGGCAGATAATAGAGGGCATCTCCTACCTACATCAGAATGATATCATCCATTTGGATATAAAGGTACAGATATTTTCAGGATAATACCATACTATATAATTTATTGTACTTGATTACTGGAGAAGATTGCAACTGTTTGTGTATTTCAGCCTGAAAACATCCTCATGGCAGACCGCAAGAGTGACCAGATTAGAATTTGTGATTTCGGCAATGCTCTGAAGCTTACCTCAAACGAAGCACAGTACTGTAAATATGGGACACCTGAATTCATTGCCCCTGAAATTGTTAACCAAACACCTGTCTCTAAAGCAACTGACATCTGGTATAAAGTCATGCTTGTCACATTACTAATTTCTTTAATCTTATTTAACATTTCTTCGATCTATCTATTTTTCCTAAATTGAATTAATTTCTTATCTAGGCCTGTGGGAGTGATCACGTACTTGTGGTAAGTCAATGTGTACTTAATTATAAGTTAATTTAATTAACATTAAATTAGTTTATTTAATGTTCACTGAGTGATGTGTCTGGCGCAAAATTGACAAACATTAGTAAAAAATTTGGTCATAACAGATTGAGTCAACGGATTTGTTTATTACAGCCTCACTGGAGTGTCTCCTTTTGCTGGTGAAAATGATCGAGACACATTGCTCAACATCAGGAATTCTAATGTGGCATTTGAAGAGAGTATGTTTGCTGACCTGTGCAGAGAGGCAAAGGGATTTGTCATTAAGCTTCTTGTAGCAGACAGACTGTGAGTGCTTACCTTCCAGAACCTTGAAATATCCTATACATATTTTATACAGTTAATGAAATGATAGATTTTCATGTTTTAAATAAACAAATGGCATTTTGTTGTTGAGTTGCATCATGAAACCACAGTTCATATATTTGTGCTATAATTGTGCCCAGGAGACCTGATGCCACTGAATGTCTTCGACATCCATGGTTCAAGGTAAGCAAGATTATCCTGTGAGTGCTTAGATTCTTACATTAGAAGTTCTTTTCTTGACATGAAAATCATCATAATGTTTCTTTTCAAAGACTCTAACAAAGGGAAAGAGCATCAGCACAACAGCGCACAAGCAAGTGTTGGCTAGGCGGAAATGGCAGGTAAGCAGTAAGCCTCTATAATTAAAAATAAGTTTGGAAATCTCACTGAAAAATTTGCTGATTGTCCTCCCTGTCTGTTTTAGCGTTCACTCATCAGCTACAAGTCTAAAATGGTGATGAGGTCCATCCCAGACCTGCTTGATGACTCCTCTTGTTACGTGTCCCTTGCTGTGCCCAGGAACCTCAAAGAGGGCTCACCACCACCCTCATCCTCGTCTGACTCTGATGAGGACATTGATGAGCTACCCTTCATACCCATGCCTCTCACAATGATGTTTTCTGGCTCCCGTATGTCTCTGACTGAGATTCATGAGGATGACGAAGTTGCTGGAACACCCACTGGCACCTACCAAAACCTTCATCAGAATAAAGATGTTATGGAATGTGAGTCATCTGATTGTATGCAGAATGTAGACCACACAGAAACCCTAGAACGGACTGAGGCACCAGAGCTGCCAGTGGGATCGAGTTTGGAGGCAGAGCAAGCCTCAGCCAAGCCCAGAAGGAGAGTGTTGCGAAGAGGAAGTTCTGCTGACAGTGCCCTTCTTCTCCACATCACACCTGAAGAAGGTGCTACGGAAGAGGCTTCAGAGGAAAGCAAGAAGAGCATCAAAAAAGCAGTGTCCATGGAGCTGCCACATAGGAGTAACAGTCCTAGTCTGGGTAAATTGAGCCAGGAAGACTATGCGCTGAAACTGGAACTCATGAGGCAAAAACTTCTCAGAGGAGGCTCTATGGATAAGAAGTTGAGTGGGCTTCGTGGTCCCCTGTTTGAGACTCTGGGTGTTGACGATGAAAGGAGGACTGCTTCTTTAGACCGCAACTTGCGGAGAGCTAGAATGGGTGGCCTGACCCGGGCCACCACTGCTTGTCACAGTCCTGGAGAGAGCCCACCCAAGACAAAAGTGTTTCGGAAGAGTGCTTCCTTTACTCATGGTGAATCAGAGCCCATGCCCCTGCATAGGAGATCTGGCGCTCCACTTGAGATTCCATCAGCTCAGTTTGAAGAGAGCAAACTGCAAGAAGCAAAATCCATGTCTGGGCTCACAGAGCAAACCAATTTAGAGCCTCAGTCTGTGCCTCCAAGGGAAATTTCTTCCAAGCCACCGACTCCAGACTTAAAAGCTAAAGAAATCACAGAGGAGGAAGAGAGAAATAGCACAGAGCAGAGTGAGCCTTTGTTGCAGCCTTTAGTACAGAACAATAATCAGAAAATGGAGAAGACAGAGGAGTGTGTGTCTCCTTCAGATTTACAGATGAAAGAAAGTAGTGAAAATCTCCCACATGACATAGCTGTGACAAATTTTAGCACAATGCAGCCAAATGGGAAGTATGGTGCTCCAGACAAACCTTCACCGGTCCTGAAGATCTCAGAGCCAGAAACTTCATCCAGCATTGAATACCCAGCTGTCTTTGCAAAAGTGGCATTTTCTTCTCCGGCGCAGCAACCAACTCTTAGATCTGATATCAAAGACATTGACTCAGAGGAAGTCTTTGAAGCTAGGTTTAAGAAGCGAGAATCCTCTTTAACACGTGGCTTGAAGCACCTCACAAGGACAATAACTGAGGAAAAATCTCCTATTCTTTCACAAAAGTCAGGTGAAGAGGTTTATCGACCAGGGCCAACAGGCGCACCGCTGGAGTTTGTGTCAAGAGTATTGCAGGAAAAGTCCAAGTCATTGCAAGACTTTAGGGAGGTGGACAGGGATCCTGGTCTCGGAGTAATTGGCAGGCTGTCTTTGCGTGCAAAAAAGACTCATGCTACTGACAGAAAAGAGGGAAATACAAAAGAGGACAATCCAGACTCTGTTTCCAGACGAAGAGTGACCTGGGCGCTGGGGCATAGTAAATCTCTGGACAAGAAAGCAGGTGATGCCGGGGACTCTATCCGCGAGAAAGGCGCAGAGAGAGAAAGAGGCCGCAAGAAGCTGTCAGACTCGCCAGTTTTCTCAATGCGACGGAAATTTGAGTCTAAGGTTTCAAGTATATCTGACAGAATGCGTAGTAAGTCACAGGAAAGAAAAGAGAATAAGGAAACACATCCTGAAGTGAATACTAAGTTCACAAACAATACTAAGGAGAAACAAGACATCAAGAAGGTCAGTGATTCACCAGTGTTAGCAATGCGCAAGAAGTTTGAATCAATTTCTGTATCTTTAAGAAACCGAAGTCACTCTGAAGAGAGATGTGGAGAGGAAGACACCAAAAAAGAGGGAAACCGAACACCTCTGCTTGCACGACTCCGCCATTCGCAGTCTGAAGGTGTCAATTTAAAGAAGATGGACATTCCTGAGAACCAATTAGCTTCACAAACTGCCTGTGCAGTGTCCAAAGAGTCACTAGACTCCACATCAAGCGCCCAGTCTATAAAATCATCTCAAAGTATGTGATGCCTTTGTTTCTATGTTCACATGCAGTACATTCAGTCATTTTATATACATAGTACAGTACATAAACTCCTCAATTTTTTTGCAGTATTTATCACTATACAACACAGATATAGATGCATAGATATATTTTGTAATGATGTTTTCTAGTAGTATTTGGTGTTCTTGTCAGAAATCTGGAAACTTTTGCACCAAACGTGGTTTAAATACCTGAAAAGTTCATAAGGTGAAAAGTTGATGAGTGCTGATGGATGTGGTATATCATTACAAAGAAAAATGGCAAGATCTAAACTGCTTTCTGTGTAATATATTATTACAAACTGCCAAAGGAAACATTCTCATTTATTTAAAAGATTTTGAACAGATAAATTTACCCAAACTTTCAAATGGCAGTAAAAGTGGTCTTTAATGTGTTGCTTGGTTCAGATGTTTCTGTTGAGAAAGCATTATTTTTATTTTTTTTCACCTTAGTTTGATATTTTCTTTATAGCCCCTGAAAGTGACCGCAGGTCTCGATGGGACAGTTGGGGGTTGTCCAGAACAAAGAGAGATAGGACACCTTCTCTGTCAAGCATTCCCTCAACCCGTTCAGAAGATGATAGTCAGACCTCACATCGATATACCCGATCTGTCTCTGGTATGTCAGCATTACTGTCAAATGCATTTCTTGTATTACTTGCTATAAAGAACACAGATGTAAAAGTCATTATATTTTTTAGATTTCCCTCCACTTTTCCATATTAAATTGAAGGACCACATTCTTCTGGAGGGAGATCCAGTCACCCTGAGTTGCCTCCCTGCTGGCAGCCCCCAACCAAAAATTGTCTGGTTGAAAGGTAAGATTTAATTGAACTCTCCTTATTTGTCCTTGGTAACAAATTTCAGACTCTGTAATTGTTCAGCTATGTCTCCCTATGCCTTTAGATAAGAAACCTTTAGAGATTGATGACAGAATGAACTTGATGTCTAGTCCGGATGGAAGACAGCTACTGATGATAATGAAGACCGGCAAGAAAGATGCTGGACTTTATGAGTGCGTGGCAACAAATAACCTGGCCTCTGCAACCAGCTCCTGTACCTTGTCTTTAGCTAGTAAGTTCATGCACATTATTCCATCCACGTCAACAATTCATCGGTTATTAAATTAAAGACAGTACAAGTTAAAGCTCTGGACACTCCTATTCATTTGATTTGCCTAGGAAAACTGAGGCCATGAAAACTATGAAAGAATACATATGGAATTATGCAGTGAGATATTGAGAAACATACATTCGGTCAGATGTGACTGGTGCTGTATGTGTAGACCTATTATATTTAGAAGGTCTTGCACCTAATGTGATTATCCTCATTAAGCTTCTTTGTTTTTTTTCTGTTCATACTGTTCTCATACTGTTTTGCTCCCTTGTGTGACATTGTCTGTTTTTTGTCTCCAGGTATTCCAAAACGCCCAGGGACGCCTGAGATTCCTCAGACATACAACAATACAGCCCTGGTGCTATGGAAACCAGCGGACAACAATGCCCCGTGTACATACGCACTTGAGAGGAAAACTGACGGTAAGGTCATTTTTTATGTAATCATAAAGGGTAGTCTTCTACTAAGGTGAACGTTCCCTTTTCTATAAACCCAAAAACATATATATGACATTTAATTTTTCACCAGGTGATTCCAACTGGCTGACTGTGGCTGCAGGAATTGCCGATTGTTATTGCAATGTCACGGACCTTCCATCTGGTGTAAACTTTCGTTTCCGTGTGGCATGTGTGAACAAAGCAGGCCAGGGCCCATACAGCAATGTCTCCAAGAGAGTTGGCATCGGTATTCAAAGTACAAGACATACAGTAGCATCATACTTTAAATGTTCATTATGAACAATTTTAGTAGTCATTTTAAAGAAATGGTTTAGCCAAAAATCAGCTTTCCTAACCCTGATGCCATAGCCATCTGTCCTTTTTTAAAATGTCATTCAGTTCCAGAAACACAAGCAAGTTCATTTGAGATTACTAGGGGAAATCATGCACAATTCAATTATTGGGATGTAAACAAAGTCATTCAAAGTCGTTGGATGTGAAAAAATAACCGCCTCAATTTTTTTTTTACAATAGTACAATAGTAATCAGAACCAGGGGTTGCAATGTCTGCCACACAGATATAGCCATTCTATTTATTATGTAAAACAGCCAGTGAAGCTATATGTCTTTGAGCTTTCATATGTTAAATAAAGTTAAATGTTAAAAAAGGAAAAACAGTGGTAAATCTGAAAAAAATAGTTAGACCTGCATGTACCTAGAAGCATTACACACTTCAAATGTGTAATTCCTATCTCTGCAAATTTTTGAAGTTTGCTTAGAATGATTGCATTTTACATTAAATCACTAAATCTAAACCATGGAATTTTGCAGAAATTTTCAAAAATCGATAGAAATGCCCTTTAAAGCAAGTGTGTGGTGAGCATGATGCTAACTACTACGTGTAAGCATACATTAACCTAATATTTCCAATGCAACACTAAAAAAAACTTGAGATACCAAATATGTCTTGGCTGATTGACTTTCAGGGTAAGAAGAATTGCATTACCTAACACAATTGCTCTGTGTAGTCCATTATGGGAGCACTGTAACATTGGTCTGTTCGGTTGTCTTTCTTATTTACTTGACCAATGTTGTGTTTTACGCTCCATCTGTTTGGCAGTGGCTTCAATCCCCCAGCCTGCTATAGTGAAGACAGTTCCATCAGCTTGTCCTCCTGTGATCACAGCTGCTGTTACATCTGCACAGCCAGCAGCTCCCCTGTCCTCTTATGCAGCTCCACAGACTCTCACCTCCGCTGCCCCTTGGAGAGTTACTGGCACTACACCAGCCTCACCTTCCTCCACATCTAAGCCTTCTACTCCTCAGCCTGTGGTCTCATCACTATCAGCAGCTAATGTTACTCCCATCATTACAGAGCCTAAGGAACAGGCTGATGTTATAAACACTGCCCACACAGTTGCTGTCAACCAGTTGCCCCCAAAGGTGAAATCTGCCCCACCCTTTGTCCCCCCCAAACCAAACAGCCCTGTAAACATGGTTCCCCCCATCACACAAATACAGTCTGTGAGCCAAAGGCCATACACTGCTCCATCTTCAGTGGGTCAGCCAATTTCTCCAGTCCCTACATATGTCCCAGCCTCCACTGCTCCAGTGGCTCCTACCCCAATCACTCCTCCTGTGGTTCTAGCAAGCAGTATCAGTCCTATTGGGGATGGAGCTGTTTCCACTTTGACAGAAACACCCATGGGAAGGGCGATCCCTGCAACCAAAAGTGACACAACTTTGAGGCAGGGAGTTCCACAGAAACCATACATATTTCTGGATGAAAGAGCCAGGTGAGAGGCTATGTGTTGTGTGTGGGTTAGTGATGTAAAAATGTACATGGTGATTCAGCTGCACTGATTTTGTAACGTGACGATCGTTTTCATTTTAATTGAATCAATGAAGTGCATGTTAAAAAAAATTGATTCACGAAAGTAGTTTATTCTTTGTTCTCTTTTTTTCCGCAGGGGTCGATTTGGTGTGATACGGGACTGTCGGGAGAATGCCACTGGGAGAATGTTCATGGCAAAGATTGTGTGCTATGACCAAGAGAACAAGCAGACCGTGATACAGGAGTATGAGATCTTGAAATCCCTTCATAATGAGAGAATCATGGCTTTACATGAGGCTTACGTCACACCCCGCTACCTGGTCCTCATCACAGAGTGCTGCATGGGCAAAGAGATTCTGTACAGCCTTACTGACAGGTAAATGTGTATGTTTCTTCTTGTGTCTTTGTGTCTGTCCATGTAATCGTGCTTATGCAAACTAAAATTGTCAGAGATTATTTAGTCTGCCTATATGATAAATGTATTTTTTCATTCTAGGTTTCGTTACTCTGAGGACGATGTGGTGGGTTACATAGTCCAGATCCTGCAGGGTTTGGAGTATTTGCACAACCACCGGATCCTTCATCTAGACATCAAGCCAGATAACATCATGGTTACCAACCTCAGTGTCATTAAGATCATAGACTTTGGCAGTGCACAAAACTTCAACCCCCTTTTCCTTAAACACTACAGTAGAGATTTAGGAACTTTGGAATACATGGGTAGGTACAACGCATTCGTTGTTTTGGTACATCGTGACAGTAAATACAGTACTGTACATAAGTCAAAGGCCATCTTTTATTTATTTTCCAGTCAAAACAACCATTAAGTACTAGTTATTCATTTTTCATTGTTAGGAAAAAAATCTGAAAATTACACTGAAGCCTCAACAACTAAATATATTATTTTTTCAGTGTGTCAGCCATTTGCCTGTATTACAACTTTGATTCTTTTAGGGAAACATGTTTCAGATTGTTTTATAGAAATCTGCAGGGATATTTTTCCATATTTCTCATGTTCGGTCTTAGAAGTGGGTTGCATTTTCTGCTTCACACAGTCCAAGTGATCCTAAACACATTCAGTGATGTTGAGGTCTGAACTCTGTGGTGACTAGTCCATTGTTCTGAAAAAACAGTAGCTTCTGTGTTTGATTTGCAGATGTTCTTCATTTTTGTCTTTCCTTTTATCAGTAACAGCTTCTTGACAGCTACACATCCTTTCGGACTCATAGCGTTGGGTTGTCTTCTTACAGTGGAAGGATGGACAGAAACACATGGCTTTTTTAAGATCTGAAGCAAGAGTGGAGCTTGATTTTCTTTCAGCTCTCAAAGATGAAAGCTGTTTATCTGTTAGTGACAGTTTTTGTGGTCCACCAGGTCTTGCAGAGTTATTAGGAGACCCATTTTTTTCCTTTTAATAATCACAAGTCCTTTTTCTTCTTTTAATAATTTTCTGAGCTCTTTTTGGAAACTCCTGATTTTCAATTATAAAAATATCTCCTGAAAAACTAATAATTGTAATTAATGGCAGTTATGACTGAAAATGAAATAAATGAAGGGTTATCTCTGACTTTTGCACAGTGTTGTAGGAGTTAGAGTTTGAATGTCTATTCAAAACCTCACCTAATGATCAGTATGGTTGTGAAGATAAATGCTTTACCCTGTTGTGGATTTATCAACTACAGCAGTTGCGCATAAACCATGATTTGGCCAAACTCTTAAGTCTGATGTGTGTCTGCATTAGAAATGTAGAACAGAAACTTATGTGTTTCTACTCACTCTTATGGCTAAAGCACCAGAGATGCTTAAAGGGGATGCTGTGGGGCCTGCAGCAGATATATGGAGTTTGGGAGTTCTTACATACGTTATGTAAGTATGACTTAATCAACTTTACTTCCACTTGTGTGAGCAGTTTAAAAATAACAGGACATTTATCATTTATCATTTAATGTTAATGCTACAGGGTTGTCTGTTCTAAGTAGCATGCCTTTTCTCATACATTTGTCAATTCTGTGTATCTGACTGGTTTTCGTTGTGCATGCAGGCTAAGTGGCAGGCTTCCGTTCCAAGAGAATGACCGGCAGCAGACAGAGACCAAAATACACGCAGCAAAGTTCGACTCGACTAAGCTGTACCCAAATGTTTCCCAAAGTGCCTTGGCTTTCCTCAAAAAATTGCTAAATGGCTATCAGTGGTGAGTGTACAACCACAAATCCTGCAAATCTCTTCACTCTCAAAGGTTTTGTTGTTTTTTTCTGTTTGGAGATCGTCATGCAAAGGGTCTAACTCACGTGTCTTGATTACTTCATTTATCATTTACTGGTTATTTTAATTTTTAAGTAATACTGGTTATATAATTTTTCTTTTTTTCAAATTTTTAGTCACCGTATGACTCTGAGTGTGGCATGTCTGCCTAGATGACAGCTGATACACCACTGGCTAAAGATTTCTGCATGAATGACTGACATGCTTGTGATTGTTGTGTTAACACACACAACTTCATCCTAAAAGAGCATCCTAAAACAGATCATTGTCCAGTGCACATTGTCCAGTGCACTATTCTGTCCTCCCAGAGATGACTGGATGGTGTTAGTCTGGAGCCTTACTGTTTTATTATTGAATTGATGCCTTAGTATGGTCTTAATTTACTACAGTGTACTTAACATCACTGATGTGTACCTCTTTTCCAAGAGACGTTCTGTTTTCCAACATGTAGCCTAACATTACTTTTACTGGCCTGACATTAACCACTTAGGTCAGGTAGTTAAGTAATTACTCACTATCAGCAGGAACAGAAAATGAGTTGCGCCTCGGGTGCTTAACTTGCATTGTCATGCTGCTGTAAAATGGCACCACTTTGCATATCATGCATTGCACACAGTGACGTTTGTGGGTCTTTTGTGGTAGTGAAAGAATTTACACACATATAAATATTATAGGGTACTTTTTAAAAAAAAGTAAATGCAACTAGACCAGTACAGTTTTAATAACTGAAATAGGCAATTAATTAAAGCTTTGATAATACTAATTATGTAGATATAAAATGCACATAGATAGAAATGCAAATATATATGCATATATTAAAGTTATGAAAATGTATATTATGTCCTTGCTGATAAGATGTTTAAAAATGATCATTTTGAATTATTTTGTTTTTTAAATTATTTTTTCATCTTATTTGTCATTGACCCATATGCAGATCTTACTGGCTTGTCAAGTAGAATAAACCTCTGGTTTATATCAATTTGCCCAGGACCCGACCCACCACTAAAGACTGCTTCAGCAACGCTTGGCTGCAGGATTCTTACCTGATGAAGCTACGACGGCAGACCCTGACCTTCACCACCACACGACTGAAGGAGTTTCTTGGAGATCACCAGCACCGACGGGCTGAGTCAGCCACCAAACACAAGGTCCTCTTGCGGGCCTACCAGAGTGGGCCTCAGTCGCCAGCCTCACCTACAGCACCCAGCCTATCCAGCACACCTGGCACCTAATAAAAACCTTCACTCCACGCAGAGCTCTAGATTACCAGAAGGCTGAGAGGCCCCACTCTCTTCTAACCAACTACTAAGGACAGGAGTGGAAGAAGCGAAGTGGATTCTTTATCCCAAGTTGAAAAGCATTAAATGTTAATGAATACTGTTGATGTGTACTACTAGTAGGTAAGTAATAACAGGTTGAACTGTGGTAGTTTGAAGATCATGGCACAAATGTAATTTTAAAAGGTATGGTATACAGAGCAATACGAAACTCCATGTGTTTGGCCTTTGGCTGAGGAATGTAGTAACTGTTCATGTTTTTTTTCTAATTTCAGCATACCCCAACAGAATTTCTCATATTAAACTATTAGGCACTGCAGAAAGACAGGACACACTGGCCTGTATATGAAGCAGATTACAACAACTCAGCTTTCTTAACACTATCAAAGTTTCATATTTGCTAGTGTTTTTTTATTTTTCTGATGTTCTATTTTCAGTTGCACCTGACTGTTGCTAAAATATTTTATCTGTCGGAATGATTGTAAATGTATCAAACAGTTAAGGATAATGATCTGTACTCTGTATATTGGCTTAAATACAGTGTTTGCTCAGAAAGGACACAGAGAGTGGCTGTGAAAAGAGTTTTGCTGCACTGAATGATCGCTGGTCGTCCTCCTGGAAATCAGCCTTAATGCTAATGCTCTACAGATTTGATCCAAATCTAACCAGCTTGATCCAGCAAATCAGTTTCTTTTGAAGGGCCCATATTCTGTTCTGTATTCTTCTCATATTTTTTCTTGAGGTCAGTTTATAATGTATTTTATTGTAATCTTTTTATGTGCATTACCATCACAGTGGTTTTCCAACCTCTTTTTATCCCATTGAAAAGCTGCTTTTGTAGTTGTGCCTTTAAGATCTCGCCATATAAATGATCCCTGTTCTGATTGGCTGACCCCTTCACAAGTGCCCTGTGTTGTGCCTACTGCAAAAAGCAGTCTGGGCTGAAATGTGCATCAGTGAGTTGGATAAACTGCGCTAGGCTAAATATGTGGTTTTATGTAAATATGTTTGTGGTTGTGACATTACAAACATGAATTCAAAAAGGGCTGTTTTTGCAACATATTTGCCAAATATGGACTGGGGTGTGAACAGCACATCTTGAAACTTATCAATTTGCATAGTACATTAAACTTGTATATATTTCAAAAATGCAAACAAATTTTGTTTTTCTGTGATTATGGGCCCTTTAAAGACTGCAAGTTGGAACCAACTCTACTGGAAAGTAGAAATCCAGGAGAAGGCCAGTGTCCATGGATATATAGGAAATGTTGCACAGTGTTCATTGAAAGTATGATCATGAATGTATGTATGTGTGGTAGATGTGTCAGTACTCCTAGATGTCAAATAGCTCAATGTTACTTCATTGCAGCTGTGTAAAGTTCTATTTATTTATGTATTTATTTCTCAGTGGTTGCATCCATGTATATTATTCTTGGTCTGGCATGCATTCACAGAGCACTTTTTCAAACAAGACAGTAGTAAACGTGGATTCAACTCGGTCATAATTCAGTTCGTATTTCTGCTGGGGTTTTTGTAAAATACAATGGGAACTGTAATGCTGTGTAAATATGTTCACAAGTTTTTGTTTGTACTTCTGGAAATCATTTTGAATTTTTTTTGCAATGTGTAATTTGAATTACTGAAGTGTTCACTGAATAAAAAAAAACTTGCATTGTATTGTTTAATATAAATGTTTATTCATCCTTATTGCTTTGGGAACATTGTAGGCAAATCCTTTATATGACGCAAACACAATCAAGAGCTTCTCAAAGCAGTAACGAAAGATTTTCCCTGAAACTGGCAGGTGATTCATTAAATCAATGCAGCATATTTTAATCTCGGAAACATATAAAACACACCAAATATTTTACCCACTTTCAGTGATTTTTTTTTTAAATGACCAATTTTCCTTTCATTTTATATACTGATAATTACTACAAAAAGTGTTTCATACAAATCAAAGTGATTTCTAGTTATTTTCTTCATTCCATAGACTTCTGAAAAAAAAGGTTACCCATATAAGACTTATTATATATTCCACACCAGTACACTGTGCAGCTTAAATGTGTATGGCTTTACGTGTTGATCTTATGCTGTGCATTCTTACATCCGTCTTCCAATGCATTCCTTCACTTTCATCATGGTTTCCATTATTAATAATCTGGGTATTCCATCAGTGTAAGCTAAAGTATGAAAACCTTACAGCATCTTAAGGCCAGTGCACATTGTAATGAAAATGCTATAACTCGATGACTTTTTACAGGAATCTCATTAGGGGCTCAAGGTGCAAAGATGCAGGCTTACACCTAACAAAAGGAAGGTGTATTCCATTATTTCCTGAAGCCAATCAAAATGACAGATTTCTTCTCCTGCTTTAGAAGAGCAGTGACATTTTTAAATTAAAAAGCTAAATGAAAACACAAATTATTGCTATTTGCCTTTGCATTTAAACGTGTTGATTGAAATGCCATCACACTGAAGCCCTCATACTTTAAATCACTTTGACGGTTACTCAGCAATTGATGGGAAGATGATATAAAATATGGCTACTTGTTTTTGTTGCTTCACAAGGTTGAGGAGGATGGGATCGAAAGACCATTAATCATTGTAATGCTGCTACTTTAGCATATATCGCTACCCTCTCTACCTACTTAACTAGATTCACCTCTGACTTGCTCTCTACAGCACTCTCAGTTTAGCACTGCTTTTGGCTTTCCCTGTAGTGAACTTTACTGTCCCACTCATATCTGAGCTGGTGTTTTTGAAGGTGAGACTATAGAGGGTCCCTTTGTTCTCCAGACGGATGTCGGGCCCTGGCTGAATGGTTTCTCCATTCAGGGTCCAGACGGGGTGTTTGATAAGGGGTACAGACACTTTGCACTGGAACCGCGCTGGGTCTGGAGCGTTCACCTCGACATCTTCCAGCTCCTTCACCAACATGATGGATTGGGCTGGGTGGACAAATCGTACATGCTCAGTTAGCCTGAGTTATTTGGCCCAACTACAATTTTAACTCCATAAGCATTTTAGTTGTAAAACATCCTGTTTTTTGTTACTTGTTGATCTCAATGGTATATCATTATCTCTATGACTGATACAAACATTCATGAGCCATCCTTTACTATATTCTCAACAAGTGGGCCAGTGCATGTGCGGCGAACACCAAGAGAACAGTACAGGGCTAAATGCTTGACCTCTACAGAAAGGCGTCTGGTGGCTCTATTATGCTATGAGGGACATTTTGCATGGTTTGGATCCACTGAAACATTTCTATCCTATGAGAGTAGTCTCTTTCTGTCCCCATTCACAGGACATGAGGGGTCACTAATGGGGTTTTGATGAGTCTAAAAAAGGGGTATAAGTGAAATGTTATGGCCTTCACAGTCACCAGATCTCAACCCAACTGAACAACAAATTTAAGATTTTGGTCTGAAGTGCTTGATTCCACTATCTACCACCACCATCCAGTGCAGGAATGTCTTTTGGAAGAATGTGGCTCCAAAAACAGCTAGACATTGTAACAATACAAGAATCTTTGATGCTATATAGAACTCTTTTCAAAAACACTCTCCATCAATGTGAAGAACCATTTAACGATGCAAAGAATCCTTGAATCATGCAAAGGTTTCTTTGAATGTTCATAGTAAAGAACTCTTGAAAACCATCAATTTTAAGAGTGCATAAATGCATACTGTGTTGTTTGATGGGTGCATAGAATTAATCAAAAGTGTGTTAATTATGCTTCAGCATGTGCACTGTGATATTATTATCACTATAGACCTAAAATGATTACCTCTATAGCCTGTCAGTAAAAGAAAACAATAAAATCTGATAATGAACACAAAAGTAGAGGCCCCATGTTAATGTCACTGGGGCTTCATCTATTAATAAACCCCCTCTAGCCAAGGACCCCAGACTTCACTTCACTTCTCTTACCTTCCACCATAAGCTTGGCTGTGGACGAGTGCTCGCCCACCTCAATGTTGTAAGTACCCTCATCCTCTACCGCCACCTGGTGGATGACCAGTTTGTGGTAGCAGCCCTCGCTGAAGATCTCCATGCGCTCGGAGGACTCCAGCTCCTCATCGCCTTTGTACCAGGTGACCTCACAGTGAGGGGAGGACACAGTGCACTCCAGGATCACCCGATGCTTCTCCAACGCTGTGCGGTCCCTAAGTGGACGCACAATGCTCACAGGTAGTTCTGTCCAAAGAAGCAGAAGAAGGGGTTTGTGTACCTTAGAGGTGGTACTGAAGTTTGGAACCATGATGTTTACCATAGTTATTATTTACAAACAAATGTTTATTACATAAACAATTGAATATATACAGTACCTTGAACCTCAAGGTATGCAACCGATTCAACTTGTTTGGACACAAATTTAATCTCGCCAGCATCCTCTGTTGTAACGTTGCATATTAGAAGGAAGTGCTTTGTACCTGTTAAGAAAAAGGAAAAATGTTTGACCAGTTGGAAAACACTTGCTGTCCTTTACACTGTCTGAACATTTCGTGATGAATGAACCAACAGAAATGGTCCAACATAAGTTGAAATAAAATACTATTACCATGAACATACAATTAAAATGAAAAATATTTTTCCTTCCTCTATAAAGATTTTGAAGAGGTTTTTTTACTACATTGATGATATGTAAGAGATGTGTAATGTTGAAATGATGGAAGTTTTGTACTAGGAGCGTCTCAATGACTAAATGCATGACATGCTGACCCTCTCGGCGAGTCTTGATGGTACTGCTGGGCCGGATTCTATGGCCATTCTTGTACCACTCTCCAGGCATGTCCTCCATGGACACCTCACACATGAAGACAGCATTCTGGTCCTCCTTAATGTACAAATCCTCCAACTCAGTGATGATCTCCAACTCCCGCTCTGAAACCCACAGCAGAGAAAACAGAAGAGGTTAGCATCTGAGATGCAAAATTTATATGTTGGAATTTATGAATATATTGAATAACATCTAAAAATCTGAGAACAAAGATTTTTTTTCATTTATACCTGGAAATAAACAACAGAATTTAGAAAAATTTAAAGCAAAGAAAAGTCAAGATTCTGAACTCTTCTAGGTCACTATTCAAATATATACATTTATGACACTGAGCATAATATAGCCTTTGTACAAAAAGGTCAGATTTTCTTTTGAGTCTTATCCCTTCCATTGAAACACATGCGCAGATGACTCTCAGCTGGATTTGATCTACTGCTCGAGTGCATGCTGTGATTAAAGCAAAAGGGGCGTTTCTAATACTAAAAAATTCTACCATTCATTATATTTCAAACATTCTACTTTCTGCTCAGATTGTTAGGCTGATAATATAATTTGTAATGAAAAACATTTTGCTACATTAAAAAACAATGCAACACAGAAGCATTTTTACTAGGGATCTTAGACTTTTGGATAAGTGTAAACATTGTCTTCATTTTTACTATATACTACATTTTAGAATAATACTGAAGACATCAACACCATGAATCAACACATTTGGAATTACTATAAAAATACTGACCTATAATCAAAAAAGCCTGGATCTTCTGATAGGGCACCCTCTGATAGGTCCACCCTCTCAGTACAATAAACAGTGATAGGTATTAGGAAAGATGTTTTATGACAAAACCCATACCATAGATTTCAAGCTTGCAGAATGTGCAGAGGTCACCGATTTCGCAGGTGTAGAGGCCAGAGTCACTGACGCTACTCTGCATGATCTGCAGACAGCGCTTACGACCCATTGAGTAGATCCTCAAGCCTTTATCTGACTTAAGCTCCACTCCATTCTGCCATTAGAAATGTACACAGCGCACATGTATCAGAGAACAGATACATAATACATACACAGGTTTTCTTTTAGTGAGCTCTTGAGTGGCAATACCTTCAGCCATCGGACTTCCACATTTTGCCTGGACAGCTCACACTCCAGCATGACAGGTGAGCCTTCCTCCAGCCGGATATCAGACAACTTCTTTATGATTGCGACTGGAGTCTCTGCAAATAAAGGAAAGACAATTGTCTATTGTTTCACCTTCTGCAACTGAAGAAAGCCAAATAAAAATGCACTTTTAAATATTTCCTTGGGATGGATCAATGACATGATGTGCTTTTTGGTGCCCATTATTTTCCTACAATGTATACTTTATATACATTTTTGAAACATCAAAATATGCATAAAATTCACTTAAAAGAATGTCAGGTGGTGCGACCATTCAACCATGTGTGAAGATTAAGGAAACCATTAAAAATAAGTCTAAATCAAATAGTTTAACACGAATCTCAAGTTTGAAACCCTTAAAACCATAGCAGTGTGAAAAATAGGGCAGCTTCAAATGTACTCCAACTCATTGAAAAACATTTGTCTGGAAATTCTGATTTCTCCAAATGTCACACAGACTAACAACAATGGACTTTTATTCTGACATGCTTTTAGGAAAAAGTGGCATTTCACCATGAAGAAGACCCCAAGTGACCTGTACGGTGCAACAGCAAGGACAGCAGCCCTTTCAAAAATGTTGAAAAAGTGGTCTTTTTTGGGGCATAATTCAGTTTACAAAGTCAGGCCACGTGACCTCATGAAAATCAAAATATTTATTTATTTATTTTAAATATATGTGTATGAGTGTCCAAGTACAAAGACTAGTTTACACACATTTT